ACACACACACACACACACACACACACACACACACACACACACACACACGAGACAGAGACAGAGAGAGAATGGTTTCAGGGTTGAAATATAGACTAGGGGCATAAGCCAACGATATTCTCTTTACCTGGTGCATGTGAGGTTCCAAGCCCTAGCACCCTCATTTCCCTAAAACAATAAATTAAGTTTTAGCAATGACAAAAACAGAGCAAAGATCATTTATATAGCCCCTAACCGCAAAGGCTATAATTTTCTTGGCCCCTGAAACATTGTCGAAGTCAGAAATATACCCTTTTTCTAAATTTTACCTTTAATGCTTTACTAACTGGCCCTTTGCACTGTTTTCTCTGGTAGAAGGATACACTGACTGTGAGTGCACAGCCAGGTGAGAAGCCAGAAGTTTAGTTCAGTTGTGTTGTGACCCAGGGCCTGGAATTTATTATGTAGACCAAGCTGGCCTGAGATTTACAGACATCCCTACATTCTTCTGCCTACAGAACGCTGCGCCATGAGCCGCCACATCCTGCAAAGATCTGTTTTTATTACTTTCTGTTTATGTGTGTGCATATGTGTGCATCTGCTGGTGTGAGGGCCACATGCATGTAGGTGCTGGTGGAGGCCAGAAGAGGGCACTGGATTCCCTGGAAGTGGAGGTACAAGTACTTGCCAGTCCTAGGACAGGGGTGCTGGGAGCTGAAAGGTAGCTCTCTGGAAGAAAAGCTCAGCTGAGCCATCTCTCCAGCCTACACTCAGTCATCTTTCAAAAGAGTGAAAATTATTCTGCCCCTTTCTGATGCTGATCTGTCTTCCCTGGTGGAGATCTGGAACCACTGCCCACAGTTGGAAGAGCTGATTACTTTTGTTTTGCTGGAGCCTGCTAGGGTACAGCTCCGTTCCTGACCAGCCTGCAGACACACTGCGCTCTGGGGATTGGTATTCAGCTTTCTGTCTAGGAATATCCATATTGAAAACTCTCTGGATCTGTCTGTTAATAAAACCATCAAAGGAGGCAGAGTGGTGGCCATTGGTGCTGGCTGGTACAGGTTTGCGCTGGCTTCTGCAGACCCCAGCACGCCTTTTTGCATCCATGCATATGGATGGTTAATACTGCTTCAGGACCGTAAGGAACTGGAGAGAGTTAACATAAGGAATGTGGGAAGCTCCTTAGAAAAACTGCTTTGTAAGTTGAAAGTAGGCACCATTTGCAGTGAGGGCATTGTTCTTCATCTGGGGATCCTGAAACACCTGACAACATGGAAGGTGGTGTGGAGGGAAACAGGAAGATGGCCAATGCACTCTTGTGGGCTTCCTGGCTCTTCACCTGAGTTCCCCACTGCACATCCCCATTGTTTGTTTTTGGAAAACCATTCCCTCGTCACGGTCATGTCGCTCAGACAGATATTACTATTATTATCGTTCAGAACTCAGCTGTGGAGCACCAGCTCAGGGGGCTACCTATTGTGTAGGAGGAAGCAGATCCTTCAGTTTTGTCATCTAGCCTGGAAAATAGTCATGGAATATTTTCTTATGTCTCATGAAAAGTGGGTATTTAATGGATATTTTGTTATTCATGGAATTCTTGGGCAGGTTTTCAAAGTAAATAGGAAACAATTCGTCTGCAGACATTGTACCACTGTGCTCTTCTTCAAGGAAATATTGAAGGCCAGAACCCTAGACAATTCTCTAGACAACATTTAGAAAATATGTCCACAGCATCACAGAGATGACCCAGGATAGTCTCAGTTATCAGTGCTTTTACTTTGGGCCCAGAAAACATTATCATTGTAACTATAAAGACCTTTCTTTCTTTTTCTTTCTTTTCTTTTCTTCTTCTTCTTTTTTTTTTTTTTAAACTAGTTGTTCTCTTAATATTAATTAAGTTGTAAATTTTCTTTTTGGTGTGCTGAAAACCAGCAAGAGTTTGTAGGTGGCAAGGGTTGCTGCAGAAGACAAGGAACTATTATTTTTCAGAGGTGTAATTCACTACCAGAAAAGGTGTGGACCATGAAATTACCCCCCAACTTAAGGATTTATGGGTAGGTGAGTATGGGAGAGGATGTTTGTATTGCGGAGACAAGTTTGCAGAACAGCCACATTGTCGAGAACTCTCATGGGGAAGTAGCACATGTTGATTAGTTCTGATAATGGCGCATCGTATACTGGATGCTTACGTGGCTGCCCATTGGGTTTGAAATGAGTGATACGTCCCGCTGAAAATTCTAGTGGATGAGGAAACCAGTTACCTCAGGAAACATATTCAGTAGGGCTGAATGTTGGAAATGGGAATTGCAGGGTGAAGCAGCTACATCAAAAGCAGACTAGCATGAAGAAACATGGGCACAGCCTCCAAGCCTTGTGCAAAGTCGTGGGGCAGATTGGGAATATCTTTTGTAAGGGTTTGGGGTGAATGTGAGCTCTAGGGGGTGGGAAATAAATGGAAAGACTTTAATCAAAATCTAGAGGCATACAAAAAGTCTCCCCTTTTATGTATTTACCTATTTATTCATTTATAAATCTACATGTGCTTTGAATAATCAAGGCTCTCCTTCCTCTGAATTTTGCTGGCCTTTGAAAATAGCTAGTGTATTTATCAGCACTGGCTCAAATGATGCAGCTTGCAATGACTCTTCTCTTGCCTCTGGTGCCCATATCAATGTGTTTTCTAAGCATTCAGTACATATTCACCTTATGCAGAATTACTCCTGACTGGTAAAGACCTCTATTTTTCCCCACCTCGTGGTGATTTCAATGCAATGTCCTCCACAATCTGGACATTCTAATACTTGGTCGCCAGTTGGTGGATGTTTGGAGAGGATTCGAATGTGTGTCCTTGCTGGAGAAAATGTTTAACTGGGGGGGGGCTTTGAGGTTTACAAGACTTGTGCCATTCTGAGTTGGCTCTCTCTTTTCTGTTTGTGGTTCATGATATGAAGTCTCGGCTGTTCCTGCTGCCATGTCTGGCCTGCGTGAGAGTGATGGATTGATCCCTCCTGAACTGCAAACCCTAAAGCAGCCACCCTCACCTCTGTAAGTTGCTTTTGGTCACTTCTTAACACAGCAGGAGAAACATAACTGACTCACTGCTCACATTCCTCTCTTCCCTTAAAAGCAATCTACTGCTCGTCTTCCTATTACCCTGCTTCCTTTCTTCTCACTGATTTTGCTGGAATTTCTTCTCTGCCTCCTCAGTCTATTTCCCTCTTCATATTCCTTAAGCATCTTTTGACTATCCTTTAGCCATGATCTTCTTGTCTCTCTGTTCTGTTTGTTCTTATGGGTATAGTATGTTGTCTTCTTTCTTTATTTTGAAAATTCTAAGCTACTGATAAATTCAAGCCTACATACACTGATGGACAGCTACCTTCCCTACAGTTTTCATTAACTTGTCAATTGGATTCAGTTCTAAGTGTCTTTCCTGTAGTTGCCTAGATGGCCTTCTCTCCCGCTTGGTCAGAAACAGTCTTTTTCTTATCTCTTTGCTTCTTCAAATCTTACTTTATTTGTGAGACTTTGAGCTCATGCTAAGAGGTTGTAGGATTAGATTTCTGCCCAGCTGATAGTGACAGAACATTTAGTATCTTCTTCTCAACAAATTATATTGATGGCTGTGGAGGTTTACATGTAATGTGTATCTCAACATGCTTCTGTGTCGAAGACTTAGTCCCAAGTTGGTGTTCCTGAAAGACCATTGAATCATGAAAGCTTTGATCTCATTATATTGAATGTTCTACTAATGGGTCAGGCCTGATGGAGGGAACATGTCATAAGGATACATACTTGAAGAAAATATCTTGTCTTTCTCTTCCTTCTCTTCTTGTTCCTGCCCTGGCCTTGCGTTCTGTTCTGTCTTTCCACTGTGATGTTTCTGCCTTGATACAGGCCAGAACAATCGTACCAACTGACTGTGGACTGAAACCTCTGAAATTGTGAGCCAAATAAATGTTCACTGCCTTGTTCACCTTTAGTATTCTGTCATGATGATGAAACCTAACAAAAAAAAATATCCACAGCCATTAAAAAACAAAAAACAAAAAACAAAAACAAATTTGCCTGGTAGCAGAAAGATAGATCGGCGTTGCTGCTGTGTGTATGTTGTATCTACAGCTGAGGCTCTACCATCACCACTGTGCATATATCCTGAGTAAGGTATCGACTTCTGTGCCTCACTCTGCATTCTCAGACATAAAAGGATCAAACTCAAGGCTTTTGAGTTTGTTTTTTTTTCCCAGGATTTTTTACTGGTCATGTGCCTCGTAAGTGGGTATTTATTCTGTTCTTGCTTAGGTAGAGACTATATAAGCTAGACACAGCAGAGGTTGGGAATGAAAAAAAAATAATGCCATTTGTAGTGTGTCAAAGCACACACCTCATTCTCATTGACAATGAGTTTTGACGATGTCCCTGAACACTGTACGAGACTGGAGACCTCTTTGTAGGAAGCCAGGACATCTATTTTGGCCAAGGTAACCATATGATTCATTTGGGAAGGAAAATGATAACTGTTAAGAAGCCCCTTGGATTTGATGAAGGCAATGGCCACTGAGAGGTCAGTCCCATTGTGGAAAATTGGAGCCATTCAGCCTTGTGGAAAAGAGGAGGTTTACTTATTTCCCAAGGTCTGAGAGGAAAACAAACAAACAAACAACAACAACAACCTCAACAACAAAACATTTCCTTTCTTCCCTCCCTGTTGTTTTTGGCAAGACTCAGTGAGTCTTTAGCTCACAAATAAGGCCGGGCCAGGTCTTCAAAGAGCCTCTGTGCTTTGCACGCACTAGGGTTTTCAAGCTCAGCTACAGCTCTAGTGGGGGTGGAGCTTGTGAGGTGAGGTGGGCAGGCACAGATGGGCTTTTCACATCTACTGCTCCAATTCACATACTGCATGGTACTAACTTATATGAGATTTGGTTTTCTGAAAAACAAGCTGTTAAAAGTAGCTGACACTTTGAGCAGTGCACGTTTAAAAGAGCAGCTCTGAAAGTGACCTGAGGGGGGGGTTGGGCCTGCCTTTTTGCTTCATAGAGAGATGATACTTTATTATTTAAAGTCCAGCACAGCTAGGAGAGATCCCTAAGTTCAGATAGAATTACTGTGGGGCAGAATGGTTTTTCTATTCGTTACCCACTGTGATGCCAACCCCTCCCCTTTTGTGGGCACTTTCACTCTGAAATAGACCTTCTTTGGAAAGGAATTAAAGTCTCAGGAGGTTTTGTTTATTGTGTTTATTCTTTGTGACCACAGCAACTTCAAACACTCTTATTTGGGTGGGCTATTGGTGTCTGATAGGATATGGAAAGCTGTGGTTTACTACCCAAACCTCAATGGCTTAAGATCCTAGGAATTTATTTCTCACTCTCTCTCTGTACATCTATTGAGGATCAGAAGGAGGTTTGCTTGCTATTGACATTTAGGTTTCTAGAGTGATGGAGGCTCCTTCTTTACCTGTTGCTTCTTTCACCACAGGAAGAAGGAACTTGGTGACTATTGTCCTGGCTCCGGATGCTCCTGCCCATTGACAGTTGCCTGTTTTGCTCGTATTTCTTGAGTCAGCATGAGCACTGCTAAGTATGAAGTGACAGTAGACACTCTGTGCTACAATGCACCTGGAAGGAAGAAGAGAGATGTGGGTGAGCTGTGGAACGACTTTCCCCTTGTGCACTAAGTGTCACAAGTCTGTAAGGGGATCTCTTTATTATTATGATGAGTGCTGTAAGTCTGGACTTCAACTCCCCAGACAGTGCTGATGTTGCTAGAACAGTGGTGTCAGAGCTGCACACAAGTCTCCATGAACTGAATTCCTGTCCTTGGGAGCTTACAGTGCAGCATCTTCCAGGACTCCTAGTTCTTTGAAATGCTTTTATTGACAATGATTATGATTAAGGCAATAGCTAAGAATAATAAAAAAATATGCATTAAGAAAGATATGTCCCTCAAGCACTGCCTTGATTTCTGCTTTGTTTTTCTATTCTTTTAAAAGTGTCCTTCAGAGTATTTTGGTAGAGTATATACATACCTCACTGCTGGTGAAATTACTTTCCTATGATATATCTCCTTACCAGAAATCGCTAAATAAAAAGACTTCAAGAATTTTAAAAAAAGTGTCCTTCAAAGCATAATCAAAATAATATTATTGGGGTTGGAGAAATTTCTCAGAGGTTCAGAGCACACACTCCTGCAGAATATCCAAGCTTGGTCCCCAGCGCTCACATTCCGTGGTTCACAACTGTCTGTAAGTCCAACCCTCTTTTCTGGCCCCATCTGCAACTGCATTCATATGCAGATCCTCACACAGACACAGACACAGACACAGACACAGACACAGACACAGACACAGACACAGACACAGAAAGACTTAGAGAACAGACACAGGCACAGGCATAGACACAGACACAGAAAGACAGACATAGACACAAACACAGAAACATAAAGACAGACATATGCACATACATATCGCTAAAGGTAAAACAAATCTATAAAAAAGAACAACATAGTCGTGAGTACCTTAGCATCTGATGAATATAAATTAAAACTGAGAAAGCATAGAAAGGGTAGCTTTCTGAAGCTGAAGTCTTTAGTTTATCTTGTGAGATTTGAAGGTCATGAAAATGCTCACTCCACTGGGATAAATGCTGTTGCCATGATTTCAAATGTCACTATGCTCACCATGGCCCTTGCCACCTCCAGTACCATTGCCACCATCACCATTATCACCACCACCACTACAACCCTTAACACCGTCACCACTGACTTCAATACCATTATCACCACTACTACTACCGTTAACACCAACACTAGCACCTCCAAAACTATTACCATCACCAACATCGCCGTTACCCTCAACACCAGCGCCACCAACACCACTAACACGAGTGCCGCTATCATTACCACCATCAACATTTCTGCTGCCTTCATAACTACCACCACTACTACATCCTTCGGAGTTACCACTACACCACCAACACCGTTACCATCACCACCACCATCTCTCCTACTTTGAAGAAAGAAGCTAGGCTCAAAATGATTCTTGCTTGCCTAAATTTCCAGAAAGGAGCTGAGGATCCTTGCAACAGTGTGCTGCCCTGGCTGTCTTGAACTCTTGGGCTCATGGGATTCTCTTGAGCCAGACTCCCAAATGCTTGGCATTATGGCATGCACAGCCTCGTTTGGTTTCACTGCAGCACTCTGTCTTTCTTGCTCAAATTTCAGTGATGTCACAGGTCTCTTGTTCTGTTGAAGGTGGGTGATTTCCATCTCCCATTTAGCCCCAGAGACCAAGCTCCAGCTGTGGCCCTGGCTGAGGTTAGGACAATGACATGTTCAACTTTTGCCTGTGGCCCTTGTGGTTTTAACAGTCCAGAGCAAGACTCTCAGGCTTTGGTGACCGTAAATGTCCTGGCTCACTTGGGAAATGGAAGCAAGTAGAAAGGTTCTGCTGAAGACTAGTGCCTCAGAGCTGTCCTGTTCCCCCTTCAAATATTAATATGACAGTGGTATTAAATGAACAATCATGTTGAATATTTGTGTGGAATCCCATGAATCTACCTCACATATACATTATTATTTTTCTCTGATTTTGTCTCTGAATGTTTACTTCTTCATGGTCCAATAATCACTAAGTAGAATTCTCCCATCTTTCATCCTTCACCATACAGTATCAATTTTATGAAAAGAAACAAATATCACAATGTGAAAGGCAATATTTAATGGCTAAAATCTCTCAAGAACACTACCTTGAAGATGAATGAGAATGGGAAGTGATTAGGATTCAGGGTGTTAAAACAGTGGGCACCTCTTTCCTCCATTTTGTCACAAAATAAATATAAAACATTTTCTTCTAAGGACAATGGGGGAGCCAAGCCCTTAAGTGAATTGGTGTGGATCGAGGAAGTATAGAGAGGAAATGAAAACTATTTATTTTACTGAACCAACCATCCCCCTGCAGATTACAGAGACTGTGCCCAGGACTGTGAGACAGACACTACCCAGCGGGTCAGTTTCTGTTTATTTACTTTCTGACTGTCAGCTTGAACTTGAGTTGTTCAAAACTGTAGCTCACTGAATAAGTTGAGAGTTTCTTGACTATGAAATGAGGCTGTCTCAGATTGTATTTCCAGATAAAAATGTACTTAGCTTGATTATTTGAATAGGCAGATAATATTTTTATACATTTTTTGAAATTCCTTCAAGCCTTTAGGTTGGTTAAGACTTGGGTATGTTGTAGAGAGAAAGATCATCTATTTTGGTCATGCTAATTTGGAAAGTTCCATTGCGCTGTTTTAGAATGCATTTCATAAGAAAACATTTTTATAGGCATTAGTTTGGAAATCAGGGCTAGCTATTTTCATTTTAGGCGTCTGCCTCTTAGCTCTGTGAATCAAAGCATTCTATTTAAGCTGGGGCATGTTCAGTTTTATCACTAGTATTTTCCTTGGGGATATAGAACTGTAGTACATATTTAACTTTCGTTGTGGCTTTATAAAGCCTGGAATACTTGAAATGCAACAGATTTCACCCAATGGGGATGCTTTGCTCAAGAGAGGCAGGCAGATAGTAGCTACGGTGTTACAGTTTACTTGTTGGTTACCTTGGTGCTGGGGATCAAACACAAGTTCTGGCATAAACCAGATGAGTGCTCCACTGTAGCTACACCCTCAGCAGCCCCAACTCTTAAGCTTGAATGAGTCCCTCAGTACTGTGTTCCAACCTCAAGCTAAATAATTTTATTTGAATTCTGGTGCACAGCAGCACCCTATTTTGGAGTAATTATAATACCCATCATTTTACAGATGACAAATTGCCAGTTGACACAGGAGTCATAACTTTCCTAGGAACCTCTAATTGGCAAGGCAAGACGCAGAGTGCTCCCTAAACGCCAGGCAGGAAGTTAACAAATGTGGGAGGCGCTCCTGGCACTGAGGACAGCACAGGTGTGTATTGACAGGCACGTCAAGGTGTCTGTATGTAGATACTTGAACCCAGGGTCTGATCCACCGCTGAGCTACATACTCAGCCAGGCCAGGGTATTAAATCATTGCTTTACGTTCCTAGGACAGAAGATTCAATGTCCAAGTGTGAGGCTTGAGTTTCTCCATGGTGAAAATCTCTCCAAAGAACAGTGGGGTTTCCAGCCGGCTTTCCAAAGAAAAGCTAGTGTGGGGACACTGCCATCTTTATTCCCAGGACGCCCTCACAGAGGTCCCTCCATGAAATTACAAAGTCTAGGATAGAGCCCATCTTTATTAATATTTTTAAACAGTTGCTTTGGTTTCTTCCTAAGCCATATCAAGTTCAAAGTCACAGTAAGTGTTGGAACAACTAAAGTTGAAATGGCTTGAATGTTTAATGTAGCCTCGGAGCGGAAATTGTTCTCAGAGTTGGGAAGCAGACAGAATATGCTTAGGAATTTGAGTACAGGATACCAAGTCAGTGTCAAAACAGTATTCCATGCCTATTTACTGTTTTCACAACTGGCTTTTCAAGGCTGGCTAAGGGAGCAGGAAGAAAGAGGAGAAGATTAAGCTTCCCTTGTCTTGAGACAGGTCTGTAGGACTCACTTTCCCTTTTTTGGGGGGAGGAGGATTGGAGAAGGATTTTGGGTGTTGCAGTGGTGGTGATGGCTTTTGAAAAACCATCTTGAGCTCAGCATGGAAGCTGTTCCTTCTGTGCTGTGCTTGAAACAGAGGAATCTATATCAAGTACTTGGTATGTTTTGCAGTTGCAGGGGTGACACCATTTGCTTTGTTCTTCTGACGGAGACAGCGATTAAAAAATCATGAAGGTATACGCTATGGAAGACATCATTTCAAGATTATGGAATTATATTTTAAAATTAAAGGGTTCAAAAATTGATGACCTAAATCTTTTCCCAAGAATTAACAAATCTTTCATTCCCCCGTCCCCCCCTCAGGAATGCTCCTCATCTGTAGTTAATCTTAGAATTAACACATAGCAAATTACTGCCATATAAGGACTGTGCCTGGTGGCTCAGTTGATTAGAACCCTGTGCTAATGAGGTTACAGGTTTAGTTCCCGGGAGACAAATCCACCTCCCTCTGAACCCCAGCCTGATCTCCAAGTGGACAAGTGGCTTTCTGAGGAGGAATCAGAACAATGTGTGTGTGTGTGTGTGTGTGTGTGTGTGTGTGTGTGTGTGTGAAAAACCCAAAGCATCTGCAATAAATTAATTGGGAATATGTCAGTGATCCTTCAGGGTACCAAAAATGGTACCCTAGAGGCTGCAAAGACTTCTTGCAGATTGTGTCAGGTATCTTGTTTCCTAGGTGTCGGATGAGGAAATTGACTAATGTGTGTTGGAAGGGAGAACCATCTATGGGCAGGAGGTTGGGGTTTATTTAAGCTGCCCTCTCAGAAAGATATTTGCCACTGGCCGCTTATGCAAAAGACGGATCATCAGGTCTTTCATTTAATCTATGCACTCCCGCAACCCAAGGGTGGGCCCTCTCTCCGCCAGGCCTCTCTCCATTCATGCCTGCCAGGGGTAAGTGGCTCCCACTTATGCATTCTTTGCAGTTTTCACTTGTAGCTCCACCTCAGGGTTCTTTTGGGTCCCGTTCCAAGGCTTAAGTCTCACCTAGTTGTGACTGGAGGCTGGTTGCTGGATTTCAAG